TGCCCATGGCATCCAAGTGATGACACTTCAGACACACCTGGAATTCAAGAATCTGTGGGAATGATGTCTCCTGCAGGAAAGGATGCATGACCTTATAGTGACAGTGTAGTGTTCCTGCTCTGACATGAGCCTAATTTCATTCTGAGGAGTCATTGCTCTCCTTGTGTTCCTGTTTCTCATGGCATGAATAGGATGTATTTTGTCTAAATCTTTGGGAATTTTGGAAGTGTGCGAGGAGTTTGCTTGCTGGGTTTTGTTGTTGTTCTTCTAATGGAAACCAGAGAAGCATTTTTAAGCAGGTTTTGGGAGATTTTTTGACGACACAATAATGAATGATTATGAGATCAAAAGTGGGCAGCAGAACAGCTGGCATGAGTAAAAACTTGGTTTTAGTTTGGTTTTTTTTTGCTATATCTCTGATTGAAATCACCAGTTTTCAAAGCTGATGCTGACTCTGTTGAATCTAATTTAGTTCCTGCATCAACTCAGTTGAAGCTAAGCGTAACTGGGAAGGGAACCAATGTTCTCTAGCAGGATGTCACATCTGCAGTGTCAGACACGTGAGTCCCCACAAACACCTGTTTTAATAAACAGCCAATTTGCTAATTCTCAGTTATGCCCACAAATAGCATCTGTTTCTGGCCAGTTGTCTACCTGAATATAGCATCCTTTTAATCAGTGAAAGCCTCTGTTGCATAACTAGTCTGACTCATTTTCTACCCAGAGATGGGAATTACCCACTCTGCTCTCTGCCCTTAATATCCTTGAGGGAATTGGTGGAAAATAGAAAGTCTGCTGGAACAGTTCCACCCTCCCTTCCAAGCAAATAAAGCTGTCAGGGCTTTGATATGTACATAAAAATAAATGCATTTTTAGAGCTGGGTGTTATTAAAATACCACATTGGCTGAACAATAATTAGTGATGGACCAGTGGAGCACCCAGGGCATTCCCACAGTGGATGTTGCTTTAATGATGGCTTAAAACAATTTTCCAGACATTTACAGTGAGGTTGGACACTGCTGAGAAAGAAACATAAACACCTTTCTGGTACCTGGAAGCCAGCACCATGCTGTCAGCTGGAAGGAGCCTGGACAGCTGATCCAAGCAAACCTGGTGTCCCACACTTCCACTGTGCTAAATATGTGCCTCACACTCTTGGTCCATGCACTTTGAAAAGAGCCTGGCATAAGGGCACAGGAAAGACTTACTGTTCTTCCTCAGGCAAATTTTGTATCTTTAGACTGAAATTCTGTGTCTAGTAATAAATTCTCTGTATAAAGGCTGTGTGTACAGCCTTACAGTGCCAATAAAGGAGTAAATAAAACTGTAGCACTATATATAATCTCTAAATAATTTCCTGTCTTCTCCTTTGAAGGAACCAACCTCGTGGGAGGAATTGTGGTGATAGGGCTAATCCTTTTCTCTTCCTGCCATGCCCCATTACTAACTATAGAGATGCAGCAGCAGTGCATTCAGGTATTAAACTGTTTTATTGCTTTTCTTATTTAAACATTCCTAATGGGATTACAACAGAGGCCATTGCACTTAGACAGGAATAAAGCAACTTCTGACCTCTGCCCATGCATGTAGGAAATAATATATTGTCTGCAGTTATTGCAAGTAGTAAATTCATGATACAAATGATCCAGCAGGAGTGAGGGACTAGAGAGACAAAGCAATAAGATAGCCAGATTTTGCAGTTTTAGCCTTTCAGGAGCAGCATAGCAGCTGACCATGTACCCAATACAACAACCTGAAACAGTACAGTAATATAGCCAGGGAGTATTAACTCTTTAACCCAGCGTAAGGGAAGCCATGACTTAAACCTCGACGTAAAATTTTGTAAGCCAACTTGTGCTGCTTGTTAGCAAAAGACTAAATCTATCATCCTCCATGGTAATTCTGTCCAGCAGATTGTATTAAATGGAAAATTACCTCAGTGAAAGTCAATTCAAACTGCTTGTGGCTTGAATTATATTTTATAGAAATCAAGTTGCTCAAAGTGCAGCAGAACACAATGTGGTTCTGTGGCCCCTGATTAAAAAAAGTGATGGATTATTCACTTATGATACATTTTCAAAAAGAAGTATTCGTGCAGTACAAATTGTCTGATTAGGGAGAGATGAAGCAACCAGTTTCTTAAACTTCTTCTGTAACTGAGCAACCAGCAATGGTAGATGTTTATGTTTTGAGTCCATAATGCACCCTGACAAGGGAGTTCACTGGATGGAGGTAGGCAGAAATAAAATCAAAATTGAATAAAAACAACTGAAGCCCAGGGACAAAATTGCAACATTCTATTTTTATTTTTGAGACAAATGGCCTCACTGGGGTTTTCTGAATGTCTCTCACTGAAGTTGCATATTAAGTACCTTGAAAGCAAACGATGCAGTACAGGAGGGAGTTGGCTACTTGCTGTGCACTGAGCAGAGATTTCTCATTTCATCCATCATTCACAAAGTGCTGCAGTACTTCCAGAACTACTGAACTTATCTAACATAGGGTGGAATAAGAGCAAGAGCTCCATTTGCAATGTGTGCCCTGCTCTGAACTGAATGTAATTGCTGGGTTTAGTCCTATAGAATATTGTGTGGCTGTGCACTCTGCTTACTAGGATACATGGAATTATTGGCTCTCAGAAATCAAGAATTGGTTATTTATAAATCACAAGACTGGCTTATATATCAGACTCAAGGGGCTTTTTGCCTTTTGTTTTCTGTAAATGTAGATTGCTCTCTACCTGTAAGTACATCATTAGAACTGCACTTTAAGAACTGCTATCCAGTTTCTCCATTTCCCACAGTGTATCCCATAGAGCTTATGTTAATGGATTTATGGCTTTCCAGATCATCCCACATCTGACTATCCACACAACAGAGAGCAGGCTGTATAATAATTTACTCAGAGTAGCAGTAAAAAATGCAGCTAAGTCTTGCTAGCTTACTAAGAGTTAGCCAGCCTTGGGAGCTAGGGATGGGTGAGCTGATCTCTCAGGACCCTTCCTGGTTCAGCATCCACTGTGTTAGGATTTAAGCTGGAGATTTTAAAAAGCTTGAGGCTCTTGGTAAAATCCCAAGATGTTGGTTAATTTGGCAGTGTACCTCTTCTCGCTTTCTGTTCACCACTTCATTGCAGTTAATTTAAATATTATAATCAAATTATTAAAATAGATTCCATTTGTCAACTTCTTTAATACACTTCTGATCTTTGCTGTTGAAATGTATCAATGTGTGTGGTTGGAGAGGTAGAATCATCTGTAGTGCCCAAAATTATGGAATTGTAGAATAGTTTGGGTTGGAAGGGACTTTTAAATATCATCTAGTTCATCACTCCTACAATGAGGAGGGATGTCTTCAACTAGACCAGGTCACCCAGAGCCCTGTCCAACCTGACTGAGTATTTCCAGGGGCAGGGTTGAGGCCATGCTCAGTCTGGCAGCCACAGCAGGCTCTTACACCTGCAGCAATTCCATCAGTCCCTGTAGTTTGCTCTCAGTCAGTGTGTGCCCAGTCCCTGCATTGTTTAGGTTACTGACAGACAGAGCTTTGGCTGCTTTGGTGGTTGAAGAAAGAATCTACAAATTGAGATTTCTTTGGGGGTTGCAGAGAAGGGAACTGTGAGGACTACATTATACATATCCCCTTTTTTTTGCCTCTTCTTGGAGGAGACTTTGGGGACTATGTCACAGACTGGTTTCCACCACTGATGTGAAGTACCTTTTAAAAAAGCTTTGTAGCACTTGCAGCCGATTGCAGCAGACATTGTTTTATGTTTTCGTGTCTGGCTGACTCCAGCTGTCACATCAACCTGAGCCTTTAAAATCATTATTCCACGTGGATTTTGTGCTCCCCTATTAGGACAGTGTCTGTACAAACCCAAAGCACGTGCAGCAAGGTTACTTCAAGATTTATTTTACAGCAATTTCATTTCTCTGGATGCCTCGTGAGATTAAAGTCAAACTTAAAAGAATCATTTTCCAAAAGAGAAAGCAAACAATGATTTAGATAGTCCATACCCCATCATTCACCATTCAAGCTTGGAACAATGGCAGTATTATGTCACTGTCTTAAGTGTGAATGTTGCCTCTAAATTTGTATTTTCTAAAGATGGAAAGTGAAGCAGTCTTTCTCTGATAAAGGCTGGTTGTCTTTGATATCATAGATAAATGCTTTGATAGTTACGTTTTAATTGCTTTATTGCCAAAAATTTTCAATGAAGCCATAAAAGAGAAAAAAAAAAAGATCAGCCTAATTGTCTCAAGATGGATATGTAATGCATAAATCTCTTGTTTAATGGATCTAGTAATAGACCACCTGTTTCAGTTGCCTTTTCCCATTCAGAATGTGAATGAATGATTCTCTCAGATGTTCACAAAGAGAAAACACAATTGCACCATCAAAAAGTCAGTGATTTTTCTTTTTACTTTTTTTTTTTCTTGAGGTTTGTTCTTGTTCTGTGTATCAGCCAACCTTGGTACATTTAACCTTGGGAAAATAAAACCCTTTGGTGTGATGTGTGAAGCTTCATGCATTTTTGTTTTCCAGTTGTGTTTCAAATGAGAAGAATAGAGAGCCAGCACATTAATAAAACATTGCCAAATCCCCAGAGACTCAGGCCTGAGTTACAAGTATTCCTTCATGATGTGGTCCATGTATATTCCCCAGTATGGATACCACTCCTCTTGCCCAGTTCTGTGTCTTTTGGCATTGGCATTACTTGTCTCTGGTAGGATTATTTGAGTTGAGGGTATTTGAGCTCCACAGCCTGGGAGCTTTATGGGCTTAAATTCAACCTGGTCTATATAAGAGAAATCTGGTGGGAATGATTTACCTGATGGAAGTGCTAAAATCAATGTTTATCACCTGTTTAAGAGCAGATGAGGGAAGGAGGAGCCATCTGTCAGAAAGTTTGCAGCTTCTGAGAGAGCCTGGAAGCAGTTTCTGACAGATATGTATCCATCACTGCAGCCATGAAAGAGCAGGAAGAGGGATGGGGTGGTGTTTCTGCCGACCATGGTTTGCAGAGAGGAAGAAGGTGACTCCATGAGGTATTTCACTGTTAGTTGAAGGCTGGGAGGGCTCTTCCATGGTGTTGCATTTCATCCTCATTGTGGCAAGCTGGAAATCAGGCTTTATCAGCAATAAAACTTCCCCCTGAAGTACTCTATCCTTAGCAGAGGGTTTATATGTCAGCTTCATCCTGAGAAGCAGAGAGGAAAATCCAGAATCTCTGCTGTGTTCAACACAGTGACGCATGGCTTAGTCTGTGAGGTACATGTAGAGGGATCTGGAATTGGTGATGGAGAGCTCTTGTGTCTATTAGGCTGAAGTGTGTAACAAGAAGTGATTATGTTGTGTTGATACTATGAGTGTATCCCAGATTCACAGCACAGGCTTTCTCCAGGGGAGGTGATGAAAAAATGCAGCAGCTCATCAGCCTGTGGCTCTCCATCAGTGTCAGTTCCTCAGTCAGGAACTGGACTTTGCCCAATTCAAGATGTGCTGCTGTCTGACCTCCTCCTGTGGCTTCTGGAATGAGAGCTCAAAGTGGGAGATCAGAGGGCCCTTCTACCCCTCTCCTCTCCAAAAAGCCAGATGTCCAGTGTTAAACTCTTGAACCTGAAGTTCTGTAAGTGACTTGATTTTAAAACCCTTTCAAAGTCAGCAGGATCTGAGCCTTGGTACATAGCCAGAGTGAAATTTCTAGTCTGTAATTGTTAATTATGTGTGAATGCACCTTTATTTACTCTGTAGAGGACCAGTACATGAGAGAAAATAGCCTAGTTCAGGCTAACATGTGCTATTTCTAAAACTGGCCAGGGCAGAATGTGTTCAAGATGTAGATCCTAGAGTCCTGGAGATTGTCTTGCTCCAGAACAAAACAGAGCTCATATACCATAGGGCTCCCACCCCAAAATCTCTCCTGGACCTCCAGTTTTGTTTGCTGCAAGATAATTTGTAATAGTGGGGAATCTGGGAGATGCACCTGCGTGGCAAATGTATGATTTAAAAGTTTCAAGATTTTAAAAAATGGAAATAGTTATGCCAGCACACTCCCTGCTATATAGTTATGCTAATATAAAGGTATCTTATACTTCAAAATACTTTCTTGTTCTTAGTGTTGGTTGTCTGTGCCTGTATGTGCAGATTCTGAGGTAACAGATAGTTTTAATAAACCCCTGTGATAGTCAGATTTTACACAAAACAAATATCAGATTATGCTTACTTTTTATGCACCAACTCTATTCTGGTTTTATTTCTCTATAACTAAAGAGCTAAGCTCTAGTTACATATGCCTAAATGTCTGAAAAGAGGGAATTGATTCCAGAAGCTGTTGTTGTAATGCAGTTAGCTCTGATTTTTCTGCTAGAAAATTCCATTTGGAATCATGTTAAGGTAGGAGAGTAAAATAGACTGTGAAAGTTAGCTGTTTCTGGTGTTCAGAAGAGCCTGCTTTTTTCATCTATTCTCTATTTTATGAAGTAATAAGTCTAAACCCGAAGTTTTATTTAGCTATTCCCAAGGAAATGGAGGTGCATAGTCTGATTCTGCCTCCTACCAGAGAAAAGTAATATATAAAGCTCGTGGTTTGCCTAGGAGCCTGCAAAGCCCTATCCTGTTGAGTAAATCTCAAGTTTGGTCTGTACTACCTAAAGGATGAGTTCATAAATAGCTGTACCAGGGATGGACATGTTCATTGTACCTGATGGTTTTACCATCCTCTGCAGCTTCAGGCACTGACATACCCTGATAAAATGAAAACAGATGCTCATAGGTTTTTTATCTGTTCTTTCCCTGTTTAGTTCCCTGAATTTTAATTGTTGCATTTTAGGCTGTGACTTTTTTTAACATAGTGTAGTGTGTATGTATTCCATGTGTCTGGAGGCAATGTGCTTTTCTCCAACTTCTCAGAGATAAGGAGCCAAATTTTCAAAGGTATTGCAAATTACCAGGAAAATAGTAAATCTGGACATGATATTTTATCCAGGGCTGCTAATGACCCAATTTATTGTCTTCAAGTGAACTTTCCCCAAGGCAAGTTATGTTTTTCCAGCTAGTCCTCTCCTGCTTCCCATTGGTCCCATCTGTGGCAGAAAATGATGGAAACTTAGCAGAGCCATTGCTTTAATCACATATCTTGTCCCATTGCCTGCAATGTGCTGTCACTGGGTATTCAGACAAAAGAGCTAATTCATTATCACCAAGCTGTTGTTATTAAGAATAAATTCGAGCAATTATGCATTATGTAGACCCAGAACATTCTACAGCCATTGATGTACTCACCATGAATTGTATGATTCAACGGAGTTCTAAGGAAGAACCAGTTAGTGATGAGGAACTAAAGCTTAATAATTACGTACAATTAAATGTTTAACAATCTTGAAAGGGATTTCATAGAACCTGCAGCTCCAACCGTAAAGGCAATGACTGCTCAGCCATGTGCTCTTCATAGTTGTTGCTCTCTGTTCACTTCTATTTGCACAACTCTGTTTACCTGGATTAGTTTCCATGTGCTACACAGAGAAGGATTCACATAAAGAATTCATAATGCTGGTGTTAATACATCTAGATGTCTCAAAAAAAGCACAGTGATGTTTTAGGAACTATGAAGATGGGGATGGGGGTTTGTCCTTTTCCAGGGACTCTAAGAGTGTTCCGCACACAGGTTCTACTATCACTTAAACATTCTGTTAACAGCCTCTGAAAGGTAGGGAAATGAGAATAGAAGGAAGGAAAAAGCTGTCTGGGGGAAAAAAAAGTAATGTCAGAAAGGCAGGAGGAGAGAAACAGAAAGCTAGAGTAAGTTATCACCTCTCAGCAAGAAGAAAAGCAACATGAAAACATTCTGGTGGAGAGGAAAAGATCTTTTTAAAAGGAAAAAAGAAAAGAAAAAATGAGAGACTTAAGAAGTGTCTCTACCTAGCATCCAGCCTCAGGAGAGCTGTTCTAAAATTGAGGTATGTTAATAGGATACATTAATTCTCCTGACCAGTTACTCAGATGTATGTTTTATTAAACTCTGAATAATTTCCTCATTTTCTATTCCAACACTGGCATGTATGCTTCCCACTCCCTGAAACCAGCCAGGATTGCTTGGATACTGACAGAGATCCTGACTCCACTTCTGTTACATGTTTATGGTTAAGTGTGTGTGACTTTCAGTTAATCTGTACTGGCTGTATGTGAAGGGAAAAATCTGTACATCCACATGGATCTTCAGGACTAAACTGTGCCAAAAGCAGGGCAGCAAGTGTGTGTGATTGGATTATGTAACTCTTCCAAAGGAGTACAGATTCTGTCTCTAGTTCTTCACCCTGAATCATGCAGTATTGGAGTTATCATTAATTATCGCCAGTGAAGTTGAGCATATGGGCTTAAAAGAGTTCTAAATGGTTTTGTTTTCTCTTTTATTGTTACCCATCTGATACGTACAACCAGGCAGCATAAGGCACTTGATTCTCTTCACCAATCCCTTGTGTACAATATTGAAAGAATTCAAAGCAGTGCATATTTTAGCTGTCCTTTAGAGATGAATTACTGCTGTTTATGCTTCATGCAGACACTTGGAAAGAGATTTCTGCATATATATCATATTTTGCTTGCAAGTAAGTCTTTAAAGCCACAGTTACATGAGATTTAAATCTAAATTCTTCTGCATTTTTTTAAATCTGTGATGCGTTTTTAATTAGCTAACAACAGTAAATCTGAAGTGAATGAGGGAGGTATTATTAACTTAGCTTTTTAACCATTTCAAAATCATATCTTAAGTGGAGAAAAAAGTCAAGATTCAGAGAAATGTCCTTCCAAGTAGATGTGCCCACAACCCTATAAACAATTTGTGTAAGAGTCCAGGTGTTCTTCTCACCCTTATTTAGACTGAGATTTCAGTGTTGAAGCTGAAATATTGGACCTGTAGAAGGGAAAGTTAAGGCTGCTACTAATGGAATAAACATTTTATTTCACTGCCTGTGTAGCCATACAGACAAGTGAGCCACAGAATTCTGCTTTTGGGCAGAGTAGTTCAGCATACACACCCTCATCCCTGTCTCACATGCATATCTTCATCTCTATATGCTGTGCCTTGGGAAGTTCTGCATTCATATATTGCAGTTCTACAATATAGTTAACAACTCTCCTTTCCTCTTCCCTCATTTTCTTAAGTGCAGTGATTAAGGAAGCTATGTAGATAAATCACAAAAAAATATCTTCTGTCCCTCTGCCTTCATAGGGAGCCTTTTTTTTCTTCTTGTGTACAGTATTGTGTTATCTGCATCTTTTCCTTACTGTAATCTCTTTTTCTGTCTCACTTATTAAAAATTCTGACTTTCAAACAGCTACATAAATTTATTTAAACATCTCCTGACTCAATAAAAAAGCAAGGAAGGGATTAAATTGAACATTCAAGCTTCATTCCATCGTCTCACAAAAGTGTTCAGATAAACTATGAAATAAATCTTTCTGTCCTGTCAGGTCATTTCAATAGCTCTGATATTATTTATGGCCTCATCTATATAATCCTCACTCAGAAGTAATCGGGAAGTTCCCTTCAGTCAGCTTGCATGATCTTTAGAAGTGGAAAGTGCAAATGCTTTTGCTTAACTTCAGCTCAGATAAGAGACAGGATCGCAGTAGTAGGAGTGCATGGTTATTCTCAAACCATACTAATGTTCAATTAAATGAAAAATTCCGGAGGTGCTTCACCCCATTTCAGTTCTGTAGTAACACTGCTGGCAGTGGGCTGCTGCTGCATGAGCTTTTCTAGAAAAGGATTCTGATTTCCACTGTAGTCGTGGTGCTGTGGGAGAAGAGGTCCATTGGGAATGTGTGGCTCCCTGTTTGCTTTGAGCTGTGAGATTTCTACGGGCTTGGGGAAGGGAGGGTGAATTTGGTTTGCTTTTACTGTATGAGCAAGTTTTTTTGAGGGAGAGGCATAGTTTCAGAGCAGCTGAGAATCCAGAGGACAGTGTAAGGGAAAGGAGAACAGCCTCAGAAATCTGGCCCATTTATTTTTGACCTTTACTGTTGGTGCCTTCTAACCCAGACTTGG